CATCCCTGTCTGCCCTGAGCTGCTTTCCCTCTGCCACGCTGCCCTGCCTTGGAGTCCGCAGGCCTTGGACTGTGAGCCAAGACAAACCTCTCCTCCTTAACCTGTGGGTGTCGGTATGGTGTCCCCATGAGGAGGCGGTCTCTAGGAAGCCTTGGGTCCCTGCAGAGCCTCCACAAAGCTGGGACTGCCCCAAGCGGAAGCAGTCTTGCCGTGGGGACCCAACACCCATCGAGACATCTTGCAGACCAGGAGAGAAACCGCGACCGCCCGGACTCCTACCCACCTGCATGTCCTGCAGCCTGGGCTTACGCTTTTGTTAAGGGGCCGCCAGCCTCTGCACCAGAGCCGCGTTCCCTTTCGCTTCTCCAGCTGAAGTTCCTTGTGTTTCTCTTGCGTCCCGCCTCAGCCTAATCAATAAAGCGGCTGCGCCTCTCAACTGCCGAGTCCTGAGATTCTTTTTCTATAAGGAAAGTTGGCAAACGTTTCTGTGGGGCAAGTTGAGGTCCCTGTCTTCTTTTTCTGTTTGTTTTTTGTTTTTTTGAGACAGGGTCACACTATGGAGCCCAGACTGACCTCCTGCCTCAGGCTCCCAAGTGCTGGGATTACAAGCAAGTGACATCGCGCCCCGCTCGTTTTGGTAGCTATTATAAATGAAATTCCTAGACCGGGGAGATAGCTCAGCGGTCTAAGCACCTGCCCGGCAAGTGCAAGGACCTGGGTTCTACCCCCAGTGCCACATGCTGTGCTGGCTTTGAGCAATGCTGGCCACCAGAACTGGGAGTGGTGGCGCATGCCTGTAATCCCACTTCTGGGGAGGCTGAGACAGGCGGATCACTATGAGTCTGAGCTGTGTAGCAAATCAGTCAATCAATCAATCTAAAAAATGCAATTCCTCTCTTGCTTACTTTTTTAGCTGGTTTGTTCTTGGCACTGATGGTTGTTGTCACTGCTGACCTTGTGTCCTGTGGCCTTGCTGAGTTTACCAGACTAACAGTTCTTTTGATGCGATCTAGGTTTTTCTACAGTTATGACCAGTTGTCTGCAGTTTGACCCTCTTTTTCTCTGACATCCCTTGCTCATGCCTAATTGCTCTGGTGCCTTCTTGCAACTATTTCAACCCTTGGGGACCTTTTTAGATAGCAGCATAAGAATGTGCAAATGACACAGAGTCCACAAAATTCTTGTACCATGAGCAAAGCTTTTGTAGTCTGCCTCCTGATTGTTGTAACTCAAAAATCAGAAGACAACGAGGCAAGTCCAAAAGTTAAAGAAGCGCTTTATTTTAGCTGGTGCCCAGCGGCGGTCTCTATGCAAGGTGCAAAGAGGCGCGCCGAGCATTGACAAGGTGCAGTATTTAAGCTTGAAAACCGCAGAAACAGGAGGGGTGGAGAGGAAGAAGTGGCAGGTCACTAGTTCATGGGGTGGTCCTGTGGGGTGAAGGTGCTGGGTTGGCAGTCATACAGAGTTCATTGAGATAGAGTTTGGGGAACAGATATCATAAGGCTTGAGTCACAGGGGCGAGGAATTGGGAGGAATCTGAGTTGGCAGTCAAGGGGTGAGGAGTTGGGAGGGGTCGGCGCATACAGAACAGGAACTCAGCGAGGTTAGAAGGGCAACAAAATGGAGTCAATTTTGACAGGGTACAACATTCCCCTCTGATTTTAAGGGGGTGAGTCAAATCATTGACTTACTAGGTTGTTCTTTATTGGGAATAAGTTCCCAGCCTTGATTTTGTATCATCATTATTTTAATAGATTGTAAGCGAGAGCTTATATATTGCATTATCCTATTGATTATGTAAGGTCTAATGGTGATCAAAACCAATAGAATGACCAAAGGGCCAGCCAAGGCTGACATCAGAGTGGTGAACCATGGGGAAAAACTAAACCATCATTGAGACCAGTTTGGTTGTGATTGTCCAAGATTTTTTCTATCAGTCTCTGTTTTAAGTCGGACATACTTTGTCTAATAACCCTTGAGTGGTTGGTATATAAGCAACATTTTTTTTTAATATTAAGCATAGGCCTCCTTTTTTTAAGAAGAGGAGATTTAGTCCTCTCCTGTGTTGTAAAACCATCTCAGCTAAGGAGCTTAGTGATTCTTCTAGTTGGGTGACTGAATTCTGAAGTAGTGTTAAATCTTTATTTATCTGCTTTGACAACCATTTAAAATTTGAGTCTCCTAATATTAACCCTGTTGTCCCTATGGCGGTAGACCCGGCCACTCCGATTCCAAGGAGGAGTGGAACTAGAACAGGAGCAGCTCTAGTTTATCGAGACAACATACCGATAGTTGGTCCTAGATGTCTAAATCCTTCTTCTCCTGAATACCAATAGGCCTGGGGTAATATGTATACTAGGATACAGAGTTCAGGTACACGGGTGAAGTATTGGAGTGAGATACAAGGGGTAATGCCTGAAGAGCTTGCAAACCAAGCTCCATCTGGAGCTGTAAGGTGTTGATTGTGTGGATAGGTGATGTTCTGCATATATGTTGTGTGGTTAGTATGACAAGAGCCAGCATAAATGGAGCCTGAGAGTTTATAATTGGCTGACAGAAAACAAGATCCAGGAATGGGTAGAACAGCCCCTAAAGTGAGTAAAGGTCTTTGTCCCTACCAGCAAGTAGGCTCATCCAGAGAAGTGTTTTGGACCTCAGACAAGGGAAAGATGACGGGAGTCCCTGTATAAAAAGGAGGATGAGGGGAGAGGCAAAGCCAGCAATTGACAGTTAGATTAAGGTTAGTTTTGTTTAAGTATTGAAAGTTAATATCAAGGGGAGCAAAGGGCTCATTGGGGTATGTGTCTAAGGGTATTGGAGAAGTTGTTTGTGGTGTTGAAGCGGGTTGAGAGATTAAGGGTGGAGAAGTCCTGAGGTGTAGTGCTGGAGGTTGTGGTGGTGCTAATGGCCCAGTAGGACGGGCCAGTGCAAGCCGGCTCCCAGGGATGAACTGAATAGTAAAGGAATTTCCATGGTCAGGGCCTGACACATATAATCTTATGTCATAGTGTTTTCCCTTATAGTATTCGATGGGGTCATGCTTAAAAGTGAATGTCATAAGGTTACATTGGTTTAAGGAACATGTTTTTGGCTTTTTTTAAAAAAAATAATTTTTATCCAATCATCTGCATTAGAACCATGTCATGGACTAATAGTTTCACAACCCCACGCATAGCAGAAATACTCAGTCTCACTATATGTACCACAGTCAGTACGAGATTTTTGTTCCTGAGGACAAATATACCATCCAATGTTTTATAAAGCTTTTTGGCTTTGTAGATTTTCACATTGAGGAACGGATACTTTTAGGACATATTCTTGGGTGGGAGCATGGGAATTTAAAAGGGTACATAGATCTATAGTTAAAGTTGCATGTGTGGTTTCATTTTTAGCAAGCACCTTACCAGTTGCATAATCAGTAATTTGCTAAGTTCTATAAACAGGGACACGGGGTCAGGATATAGCTTCATCGGGGCATAACAAGCAAGCAGAAAAGTAATACTAGCACAAAGATTATGTACATTTTTTTCAATTTAACCTTCAAGGGATTGTCTCCCTTAATAATTGTCCACTTATCTTTAGCTGGATGGTCAGTGGATTCATCTGGGGGTGATATCTTGAAGTTGGTATGATGAATCCAGGCGGACTTCCCGGCAACTTTGATTGCTGTGGGGGTGCTGAGTATCACGGTGTATGGCCCTTCCCACCAAGGCTCCAGTCCTTTTAGATCCAGACGTTTGATTAGCACTTGGCTTTTTGGCTCCATGGCTTGCTGGTAGAGTCTGGGGGCCAGAGCAGCGTGTTGTTGTCTAAAAACCCAGGGGATGGAGGCAAGCACCGGCTGGAGGGCCTGGAGGGATTTAATGAGATCTTGGTTAGCAATCTCAGCAATTTTTGTCAAGCGAGGCAAAAGTGGAGGAGGTCTCCC